TTTTTTTTTTAGTACAGGGACCTTCCGATTTTCGGATTAGTCTATTTATAATTTAGGCTCTCGTACAATATTTATTCTCCACCCGATATATGCTCTTATAACTTTGCCCACCCATATGGAAGGCAAAACATGTTAACATGGCACGCTAACCCTCTTTCAAAACAGCTCACCATTTATTAATAACAATACACAACCTAATTTGCTTAAGTCAATTCGTATATTATGTGGCTAATAACGATTAGTTAGGCTTCTCTCTTGAACCTAAACAACATTTGTTCAATGTATTACATGTTCAATGTATTACAATTAATGGAATCAAACAAAACTTAATACCGCAAACGTAGATGACCCGCACCATGACAGGACAAGCCCGGATAAAGTCAAGTGAGGTTTCATTCCAAAACTAATTGGTGGAAGGAGTAGTCCACTAAACTTATAAATTATGTTTATTTTTCCTATATAAACGACGTGAGATAACTCACAAGTGAATATTCTGATACTTCACTTTTGATTTCGAACAGTGCAAAAAATGTGCGACGTCAAGATGTACCTCAAATCACCTAACAAATTTAATCATCGGCCTCAGAACTACATGTGTTGGAATATCACTTGTGAGTGTCCCTCATTGATTCTATAGGGAAAATGAGTCTAGTATATAAGCCTAGTGGGCTACTCCTCCTATCACCAATTGGTTTTGGGATGGAACCTTACTATGGTGCACCTAGACTCACCCTCTTATGGTGCGCTTCATCTGGTGGGACCGCACTATCTTCCCCCATTCTAACATGGTATCAGAGCGGGCCTGTCCTAGGACCTGCAATGACTCTCTCTACCCGGCCTGCTCTAGGCTTGGGCTTATCTCTCTACCCGGCCTGCTATGTGGGCTTGGGCTTACGAAGGACTCACAAGTGAGGGGGCGTGTTGGAATATCACTTGTGAGTGTCCCACATTGATTCTATAGGGAAAATGAGTCTAGTATATAAGCCTAGTGGGCTACTCCTCCTATCACCAATTGGTTTTGGGATGGAACCTCATTCTAACAACATGTGTATATAAAATTCTTCAATTTTCACAAGGCTAGCTAATTAACATAAAATCTCAAACAATCTCATGATTACTCACCAAACCCGTGTCCTCACAATAAAGATTCTGAAATATAATGTGAAAAATGACAAACAAATTACAAATTACAATCAATATTTGAGCTATATCTAAATTGGGCCGAGATGGGTTGGGTCCGTTGGACATGAAGCTTTTTTTTTTTTTTTTAATAATTGTTTGGTGTTTCTAAATATGCAATGTTTATTATAATCTAAAATGATAATATACAAAACTCATTTAAATTTCGCAATATAATTTCTTTTGAGTTATTATTTTCTGTCAAAATTATTTATGGTTTATATAAATTTAAAAATATAAATTTTTTTCAATCATGTTTCAAAATTACACTATTATGAACACTAATGTAGAGCATGTCATTATACAATATAAAATTAGTGATATATATATGTATTATACAGATAAAATAAATCAAAATTATATAAATTATTAAACAGGTTTGACAATTGATCCAATCAGTGAACCATTGAATCGATAGCTTCACCAGTTCGATGACCGATACAGTTTCTAAATCCTTGGTATAGATCAACCCCAATGAGCATGTAGCTCGAGAATCGAGAAATCCCAGAGCACGAGACCTCGTCGAGGGGAGGTCGGCGAGATTAGGAAACATATCAACGACCACAGGGCCCTTCAGTCCAATGGTGACGTCCAGCCCCTTTGGGGAAGGGTGGTCTTAGCGGCCTTGAACTTAAAGAGTCCTACCCAAGGAGGACTGAATCCCTTCAATATGGGAAGTATATATCATTAAGGACACTGGAGATACGAGAGGATCCTCTTAGTTAGGAAGGGTGTTACGGGAAGACTTACTACCATATCAAGAGTTCCTTTGACCAACAACCAACCCTAACTATAAAATGGTATCCAGGTTCTTATTTCTACACAACGCACATACACGCGCAAATATACTCTTGCCATATTATTGTTGAACACGGATGACTTGAGCGTCGGAGTCTTTTCCGTCGAGACCCCTCTCGGCATTTTGCAGGTCATCAGAGACGTCAAGGCCGTTCAAATCAACAGATTGCGGCTCAGACCAAATTAGAGTACAAATTGTGCAACACAATTATTAAACAGTTGGTGTAGATCTGTAGGTCTGGTGTCGAAGAACCTGGCCCACTAGGCATACCTTGTGCTCACCCAAAACAAACAATGAAATGTCGAACTAAAAAAATATAGAAAATCTATTAAGCCCTCTACAAAAGGTATGTCATTTCATAATATAAGATGTATAAAAATTATTTCTGTTTAA